TTTAACATCATTAAATATCAGTCAATATTCCAGTTTCCCCAATTGTCTCTTAATTCTTTTAGTTCAAATCAGGATTAAAAAAAGGTACATACATTGCAATACGCTTCTTAGGGTACTTTTGATCTGTAAGTTCTCTCTCAATCTCTCTCCTTCCCCCCTTCTCCTTTTTTTCTCCCTCCTGTAATTTGTTTGTTGAAGAAATTGGGTCTTTTCTCAAGTTTCCAAGACCTGGTTTTGCCGATTGCATCCTTGTGATGGTGTTTAACGTGTTCTCCTGCCTGTAGTATTTGCCATAAATGGGCAGTTAGCTCTAGAGACTTGAAAACCATTCCTAGCTAGTGGGCCATATACAAACAGGCCCTGGCTGGATTGGGCTATAGTAGGCTGACCCCTGATATAGGTGACAGAAGTGAACGGTGAGGAATTGGTCAGATACCTTGTAAGGGGCGAGGTATCCTCCTCCCACAATGCCTCACTGTGCTCCCCACGGGCGCCTCAGGGCGGGACCTGGGCTGGGCAGGCAGGAAGTGGCACGGTGGATTCCATCACCACTCAGGGCGAGCAGGCTCGAGGTAAAGCCCCAGGACCTTGGAGAACAGTGTTTAGTCCTGACATAGTGCAGGGCTGTGGTACCAGCCCAGGTGATATGCGTGGGATTTCTCCCCTTCTGTTATTTTCAGCAGAATGTTTGAAACCTTTGCCTGGAAGATGTGAGATATATTCTGAATATGTTACTTCTTTCCCTGAGGAAAATGGTCACCGATTGCCTTTTAGTGTCTGATCCAGGTTTGATGTCTTTTCCCCACTTAGAAACGAGAGGTGAATACGGTTTTGGCTGATGTCATCAAGCACATGACTCCAGATCGTGCATTTGAAGAGTCCTACCCTCAGGTAACAGGTTTGCATTTCTCATTTCAACACTGTTAGGGATTTTGTTCTGCTGAATTAAACACTCGTGTTACATGGGTCAGGCTGAAAGTCAGATAATCCTGTGTTTGAATCATAGCTCTGCTATATCCTAGCCACGGTGCCCTTTGATCAGTTACTTAACTTTGTCGTGCTTCAGTTTTCTCACCTGTAAAATGGGGATAATAATAGTCCTGTCCTCAGAGTTGTTGTAAGGATTGAATGAGATGTATATGGGAAGCCCGGACACCGTTGCTTAGCACATGGTAAATACTGAAGAAGGAGCAGCATCATTGGCACCAGTAAGTAAGGTGTCCGTGTTTTTCAGTTAAATTAACTTTTTGTTTGGAAATAAATTTAAGCTTATTGGAAAGTTGAAAGAATAGCTCAAAGAACTCCCATAATACCCTGATTCACTACCTATTAACATTTTGCCGCATTTGGTTTATCATTATCATTGTGTGTGTGTGCACACCCATGTGTGACATATACATGTATATATGTAAATTTTGCTCTGAATCGCTTGAGAATAGTTGCATCCATCGTGCCACATCTTTGCTTCTGAAGAGTTCAGTGAGTATTTCCGAAGAACAGGGACATTCTCCTACTTAACCATAGTTCCGTTGTCAATGTCAAGGAAGTTAAATTATGTCAGATACTCCATAATTCATACTCCAGTTTTGTCAGCTGACTCAGTGTCCTTTATGACAGGTTTTTTCCCCCCCTGAAGTGCAGAATGCAGCTTAGAATCACTTTCTGTAAAGTAAATCTTGACCCAATTAAGATTTTTATTTAACAACATGATGTTCTGGTATTATCCACCTGAGATTGATGTCCAACTGCACTTGGTATAAGGCAATTAGTTACATATTCTTGTAAGAATTTTAGAGTTGTTATATTTTGCTAGTTTAAGAATTTTTCACCATTTGCTCATTAAAATGGTTCATCATTACAATTTACTGGGCAGCCACTGACTACCTGACATTTCTCTAGGTGTGATTAGAAACAGTGCATGGTCGTGCATGGTGTCTGGTGCATAGTAAATAAATACCATTGAATGAGTAAAGCGTGTAGAAGAGATGGACCATACCCTTGTGGCTTATCAAGACTTCACATGAAAACTGATATGCATTAGAATTTTTGTTGAAGAATATTTAGTTAAGACCTTGACTGCTAGGGACCCAGTTAGTTGAAAACTTCATACAGTGTAACAATTTTAAAGCAGTCTGTTCCAAGAGAAAGGGAGATTATGCTATATTATAATTTGGTCATATCTAAAAACAACTTTTAAAAGCTGCCCTGGAGTCAGCCAGCATTCAGGACAGCCATTCATATCAGCAGAGAGCCCCTTGTCTAGAGGGAGGGCCACGTTAAGAAAAGCCCCACTGCTTGGGGCTGTGGAGAATTGACTTACTCCAGGTCTGGGACAGGAAAGTACAAGGTGA